CCGTAAGGACAGCAGTAACTTGACAATTTCCCTAAACAACTACCGTAATTATATATATTTATTGTTATGAAACAGACTTTCCGTCTTATTTTCCAAACCAAAGCGGTACGTATATATACATAAATATAGTGACTCTTTGGCGGCCTCTACAACATTTTTGACCCAATTCTTCAAAAAAATGCTTCATTTTGGGCTTATCAAGTTGAAGATCTGAAATTGGGACCAGATCCGTAAAAATAATATAAACTTTGTCTATATAAATATTAATACCAAAAAAAAATGGGACTTTTCTCTATCCATCCTTTTAATTAAAGGTTAGTTATTCTAATAACTATTTTTATGCAGACGAAGGAAAACATTAACTTGTTTGGAAATTTACATTTTCCTAACCCCTTTGGAGAATCCCCTGCATTACGATCTTTTGGCTGGATGACCATTGGTCAGTTTCTACACAATGTATCTTATTACACATTCTTGCTGATCTACAGATCGATATTTTGTAAACAAGATTTCTATTTGGGATTTTATGAATTGTTCCCTCTCGCCGGCTCCATTCCCTTTCACCACCTTAAGCTTTTTTTTTTCTTTTCTTTTTTATTTTGATGTTAGTGAGATGTTTAGTTATATTTGTGGTCCATTACTAATGTATTTTTGTAGATATACCAATTTTAGGTTGTGAGCATCTTCATTTCTGAATGCTTATGTTGCAGGTGTTACACTTAGCATTTCAATATTTCTATATGGCCAAGTTGACCCCTTCCTAGTCCAAGCTATTGTTTCTGCATTACTGTATTATCGTTTCATGTTTTTCATTCATTATCATCTTGTTGTACAAATGTACATGTACAATGCATATATGATATGATGACGTTACATCTGTTTAACGTTAATCTGACTAAAATTCAGATCTATATCGGAACTCGCTTACTCGCCATGATCAAAACAAAATCAGCTAGATATCTATATTTTGATTGTTTGACATTGAAAATGCAGTAAAAATTACGAAAATGGGTCAAGCCCTAAGCGACTGCTGTTATGAGGGGCGCTTAAATACTCCGTTTATATCCGCCTGCCTTTATGTCTGTTTCTGATATAGTTACGCATGAATAACATTTTTCGCTTTCCTACCGAAGGTCGATGGTTCCCTCCGGCCACTCCGGCTTCCTTCGCCAATAAAGCTGACCGCCACGTAATAGCACAATAGTAATGAAAGTGGCATTAAACACCAATCAATCAATCACCTTTCGTGTTAAGGTATAGTTATGTATGTCTGCAAATTAGAGGACACAGTCTGCATACATTTAGTACCTTTGTCGATGAACGAAGATCCTTTATCCGATGCATTGAATATATATATATATATATATATATATATATAAAAGTCTAAATTGAAAACAACGTTCAAACCTATGATTGCGTTGGATAAAAACCGCAATTTTTATACGTGTGCATGTAAAACAAATTTCTTGGTAGAGGGGTCTAAATACAGCACAAACAACAATTTCCAAAAGACCAAAAAAAGTGAAAAAGTCTATTTTAACAAAACGCATTTGACTAACAGGTCGAACAACTGATGTTCTTAAACCCTGCTGACTGCCATTGGCGATTGCCAAATAAATTGATCACCAGATCTAACAAAATGGATCTTAATATTAATTTAATACCAAACAGAAAACAATAAACTTGTGGAAAAGATGGTATACCACAAACATGAGGTGCAAAAATTTGTACACCATATCCGGATTTCGACAATTAATGTCTCTTCAGTGATGTTAGGGATCGAAACGGTATTTGGAAGGCCATATAATTTACCTCAATTTAGGAAAGACTCTTGAATTTTAAAGAGTCGAAATAGGATGAACGGATCATATAAACCCGAAGGAAAATATAATACAAGCCCAAACGAAAAAATATATATAAAAGTCTAAATTGAAAACAACGTTCAAACCTATGATTGCGTTGGATAAAAACCGCAATTTTTATACGTGTGCATGTAAAACAAATTTCTTGGTAGAGGGGTCTAAATACAGCACAAACAACAATTTCCAAAAGACCAAAAAAAGTGAAAAAGTCTATTTTAACAAAACGCATTTGACTAACAGGTCGAACAACTGATGTTCTTAAACCCTGCTGACTGCCATTGGCGATTGCCAAATAAATTGATCACCAGGCTGTGCAAAAGACTGACCGGATCATACAAAAGCCAAATCTATCGATCAATACGTTTAATTATTTCTAAACGGAAATTTTGACGAAATCACGGTGCATGCATGTGTAAATAGCGTTGGTGGGTTTTACTTTTTTCGTTCCGTCGCCTTTAAAAAAATCAAAATGTCAGGATAAAAATAGGGATTACTGGACAAAAAGAAAATGAGGAATCAAGTCATGTATATTATAGGACTTATTGTTATAATGAAAACAAACATATTTTTATGCAATTTGGTGGCTGTCTCATTAACGAACAATTAATACTCAGCTTCCCTTTTTAAGATATAAAATTATATGTTTCTGCTAAGCGTATTAACTCTTAGATTCTTCAAACAATTTCACCTATGGAATGTAACATTGTATAATGATACTTGTATCTAGATAAAATAGACGCATGTACAGTACTCTTGAAAACTGTTCTCACATCATTTGAATAATGTAATATGTATATATATATCCTTTCTTTCCCTCAAATCGGTCATTATACCCAAAGTCGGTCACCCTTTAGAATCACGCTTTGTTGTCGATGAAGTAATTCCTTCTTATTTCTGAGTACAAAAATAGAAAGACTATCATGCAATTTGCTTGGTGATATCTATAAATGAGATGCAGCAGACAAGTATAAATACTTCATTGTGGAAATTTTCGTTGAAATTGACTTTGTGTTATAACCTTTTTATCTAACTTTTGACCAAGGGGATGCTACGCTTTTGGGATGTGGGATATAGGGGGTATATAAGTTGGGAAGTAGAATATAGGAGGTAAAAGTGAGATCTAGAGAAAAAAAAACAAAAAAGCGGAATTTGCGAAATGAAAACCCCGTGTCACCCCATTCTTTGACACGCAATTAATTCACGATCAAAACACTGCAAATAGTATAGCTTTTTCTAGTACGTTTGTCTTCACTTCTTAGCACGTTATCATGGAGTCTGGGTAATAAAGTAGTCAAGGAAAAATATAATTTACTTTTTGAAAATGCTATAATTACCTTCAGTTACATTTTTTTTTTCATTTTTGACGAGAAATTGTGATGTACGAATCTTTTTAACTATATATTACAACATTCATGTAAATTATTGCGATGAGAGTAAATATCAGTTTCTCTCGAGATATTATATATATCTAATATCAGTTCTGTCAATATTGAATTAAAAATTAGTATTCTGTTCTTAAGAAATTGACTCGATCAGCACTCTCCCCATTATAATATCAAATGGTGTTACCTAAATCATTTAGGTTCATATTCAGAATGGACACTTGGAGGAAAATAGTGACCATAGATTTTATCTATCTTTTCTGTTTTCCTCTATTCTCTTTTTTAGGTTTTTTTTTTTTTGGGGGGGGGGGGGGGGGGGTGGTTATACGTACATTTTTTCCATCATAATATTTTCTCTAAAAGTCGAGGAGCTTTCGCACTCAGCTTAAAATAACCTATTCCAACTAGGAACCACCACACACATACATTTACATACACACCTTTAAGTCGTTGACCCATACAGAGCTCTTCTCGGATCCGGACTCACCGGGCTTTTAGAATGAGTGTTGGGTGTATATTGGCAAATATTCAATCGAGACGAGAACAAATGAATGATAAGATAAGAAAACTTTATTTTGATTCGGCATAAGTTAAAAGACACAACACAAGCTCTAAGGAGCTTTTGACCGAAAATAAATATAAGGCACCTTCAGAAAAGGGGGGGGGGGGGGGTCGATAGGTAAAAAATTTAGACAGCCACGAATAAAATGTGTTTGATAAGGACAGAAATTTAGCCTTGCATTAGGCCGTTGGTTTACTTTTGAGCTGTTTCGTGTTTTGGCAATCCCGGGCCCTTTTGTAATACATGTACTATAAAAGATATATCATTCAGGTTGAAGACCACAATGACTTGTAATTGTTGTTCACATGATCGTTGTCCTTCGGTCTTCATGGATAGTTGTATCATTATCAATCATACCACCTTGATGATCTCCTTATTTCTATATTTAACTTGTAAATTATTATATCTTCTTTTTTTTTGGAGCTTAACTGCATAAACTTTACTATTTTGACATTTTTACCTATTATGTCTGTTTGTTTTATTCATGCATCGTTGTCAATATAATGGAATTTGATGCGACTGTCATACAAGTGAGACTGAGGTATAGCGCTATAAAACCAGGTTCAATCCACCATTTTCTACATAATAAAATGCCTGTACCAAGACAGGAATATGACAGTTGTTGTCCATTCGTTTGATGTGTTTGTGCTTTTGATTTTGCCATTTGATTAGGGACTTTCCGTTTTGAATTTTCCTCGGAGTTCAGTATTTTTGTGATTTAAGTTTCTATTAAGACCAATATATTTTATTTGTCTGTTTAATTCATATTTGGTGTAATTATTCTTTATATTCGTTTTTCTTAGAAGTCGTCTTGAGCAATAATTTTCTAGACAAAATAACTTTTCGAGATTAAGTCATTTTCATTTTAATTAAGAAATACCCTTTGGATACCTCACTCGTCTGGACCAAGTGGATATCCAGATACCACGTGGTAGACTGAACCCCAAACATGGACATTAATGACATCAGTGTCCAATGTCGGGGTTCGTGAGAAATCGATCGGAAATGTAATGTAAATATTTGCTTTTGATTGAAGGGTCTGCGTTCCATCTAATGAATGGGCGATGAAAATTAATAGACTGAATTTGTATATTTTGTTAATAAGTAGTTATTTTGATGAATTATAATCATCTTCCCCCAAACGAAGCCCAAAATTAACATAATCCACCGATGCGCATGAGCTCTGCGCAGGTGCCCGCCGACAAAGAAGACCCTGGACCAATCGATATCGAGTCAGAACATAAGCGAGAAGAGAAAATGGCCACAACTCATTGAACCCGCTGTAGCAAATTACACTCAAAATATCTTACTTGAACAAAATTGCACTTCTTAAAGCACAAATCTTGTAAGTATTCACACATATTTCTGTCGACTGATGTTGTAAATGCATGCAAACGGCTGGTCCTTAAACCTGTGTTTAAATTAGCAAAAATGCTTTGTGTTTATCCGCCATATTTCCGGAGAAAATGTGGCGAAGAAATTATGTGAAAATTAAATTTTTTGTCCATATTATTTAGATGAAAATAAAGAGTATGAAAATGTTTGCTATCCGAAAAACCTATTTTGTTATTTCATTGTTTGATCTTGTTTAGCAAGTAGGTGGACCAAAAGCTCGAAAAAAGGGGGAGCAAAAAACTTCATTCATTTGATGTGCCTATATAGAACTGGAATTTGTCTGTTTGCTTAGAACTCGATCCCATTTTGACGATGTTTGTTGTATGCAGTGACCATTTTTCATAAATGTCAACTTTCAAGTTAGTGTTGTAGCTACTCGGTTATCTCCAGATTCCACCACAGTGGAGTCCGGTATTAAATTCACTCGCTAAAAACCTCCTCTTCACATGTAGCCTTTTAAGCAGTCATAAATCAAATCTAAAACCTGTATTTTTGTTACAGTTTTCACTTTTAACATCAAACACTACAGCTGAAGTGCTCTGTTCACAAAATATCTCACAGCCAAAATTGATCATCATAAGTTTTTCTGAAATGTTCATTACTTCATACTTACAATAGACCATTTTCGAGTTATGTCCTCTCCCAGAAAAGTTCATCAATTTTGCCAGGCTTTATGATGTCATTTACCAGATAGTGGGGATCGCCTGTATCCCTGCACTATTAAAGTTCAAGAGTCTTCGTGATCGTCATTATGCAGGATAAACTAGAAATAATGTTTGTTGCGTAGGTACTCAATCACATTCCCTAATGCAGTGCTGATTTTCAATTCGAAGAATTTAATTTGCCGAAAAATTCATGCAATACAGCATTATATTTTTTCAACCACTTGCACAACATTGGAAAGAAGTGATAATGCCCCTGAACGCACGAATGATGTTCACTAAAACCAAAGTTTTTGACGGAAATGCAACGAACTCGAATGATGTCTATTGTTTCTACACTTATCCTCATATCATGGGTTTTCGTGCTGTTAAGAATGCATTGTGACATCACAATTTCCAGTTAAGAAGCACTCATAGTACGAATTTAAATGAGTACGAAAACATGATTTGACCTTAAGATTTTTTGTGAAATTTACTGAGAAGGGGCCTGACAAACAAATTACCATTCCAAAATTAAATCCATTTCAATACCAGTTTTAGTATTTTTCTTCATATCATTAAAATTCCATTATGTTTTTATACGACGAAAAGGTTATTTCTCTGAGGGTTGTGCCCTCAGTGAAATAATTTTTTAGGGTTGACAATTTTGGATATTCATCGCTTATAAATAAAATATTGTTTGTTTCCCCTCCCATGACCAACCCGAAAATTTTTATTGGACGTTCATGTCCAATATTTATTTTTTTTTTTTTCCTATTTTTGTTTTTGGTGATACCTTTCCAATGCTGTAGTCCACGTGCGTTTTAATTAAAGGCATTTTTGCATTGAAGCGTCTAAATGATTCTGAATCGAGAAAAACAAACAAAAAATGGCCAGTCACACGATTTGTGAGTGTGCAAGGGTGATTAATGACCATAATTTCGTAAGAAAATTTTGAAGATAAGCCCCAAATTAACGATCAGTGAAATCATGGACAAAGCAATCAAAGATGCTGAGGTTGATGGTCCTATTGATTATGCCCTAATGAATGGCAACTTTTCGGCAAAGCTGTCAACATTGGAGAATAGCACCGAACCATTCTCAATTGAAAACAATGAGCCAAGGAATAAGATATAAAAAATTTGCCTACCTAACTACATTTTGTACCTACCCATACCCTGAAAACCTCAGTCGGGAAGGGGAAACAAAGATATTTTTAATGTTGGCTAAGGTTATTCACTGGTGAATAATAGGGTTATTCACTACTGGTGTAAATTTTTAGGATTAATCCTCCTTCCTTGCAATTAAATGAAAATTAACTGAATTATTCCATGCCCCGTGATAACGTGTTACCTAATAGAATTGTTTATAATATATATAAGGTATAATAACTTGAGTTAACCAATCTTTTCCTTGTCTCAACCCTCACTGAGCCAAGGTTAAACTCAAACAACCCTTCAATGACTTCAAACCAATCAGATTTCTTCCTTTATTATACAGAGTTCACGAAAATGGTCGGTCCTGTCGGTCAAAATGAGGCTCGGACCAGTATTTTGAAGGCTAGTGTCGGTCCTAATGACCGATGTAAAAACGGCCGTTGTAGTGCATATTTCGGCACTTTTTATACGACCGCAAAAAAATTTTTGTGGTCGTATATTGGTATGACGTTGGCGTCGTCGTCGTCCGAAGACACATAATTTTTCGCACTCTAACTTTAGTTTAAGTGAATGGATCTCTATGAAATTTTACCACAAGGTTCAATACCACAAAAGGAAGGTGGGGATTGATTATGGGGGTTATGGTACCAACAGTTAAGGAAAAAAGGGCCAAAAATAAGAATTTTTGTAACTTCCTGACATAACTTGTTTGTTAGTGTGTGGATCTCTCTGACATTGTACCACAAGGTTCCATATCACAAAAGGAATGCTGAGATTGATTTTTGGGGGTAATTGCCTCCAAATTTTAGGAATTAGGGGCCAAAAAGGGGAAAAAAAACAAGCATTTTTCTAGTTTCATTACAATAACTTGTTTGTTAGTGTATGGATCTCTCTGACATTGTACCACAAGGTTCCATATCACAAAAGGAATGCTGAGATTGATTTTTGGGGGTAATTGCCTCCAAATTTTAGGAATTAGGGGCCAAAAAGGGGAAAAAAACAAGCATTTTTCTAGTTTCATTACAATAACTTGTGTGTAAGTGTATGGATCTCTCTGACATTTTACCACAAGGTTCCATATCACAAAGGGAATGCTGTGATTGATTTTGGGGGTTATTGCCTCCAAATTTTAGGAATTAGGGGCCATAAAGGGGCAAAAAAACAAGCATTTTTCTAGTTTCAGGACAATAACTTGTGTGTAAGTGTATGGATCTTTATGAAATTGTATTGCAAGGTTCCATATCACAAAGGTAAAGCTGGGTTTGAGTTTGGGGGTAATTGCCCTAAACGTTTAGGAATTTGGGGCCAAAAAACAAGCATTTTTCTAGTTTCCAGACAATAACTTGTGTTCAAGTTTATGGATCTCTCTGAAATTGTACTGCAAGGTACCATACCACAAAGGGAAAGCTGGGATTGAGTTTGGGGGTGATGAATCATAAGGGGGTTCAAAAAATTTGGGGGGGATTTTTTTTTTCCTTTTTTTTCTTAGGCCTAAAAAAAATTATCCCCGGCTTAGTATATTTCTAGGATTTTGATTGGTTAACGCACGTCGTTACAAAACCCGTAGCCCCTGGGTGTTGCTAACCCATATACCCGGACGTTGCTACCCATTACAACGGGGAACATCACGCGCGTTTTCCTTAGTTCAATGGTTGTTCCTTGTGAAATATTGAGTTCTGTAGATTATCCATGATGTCTGTAATTAAATATTTAATCAATTAACGATTTTAACTTCTAATGTCGATCATTTGCACTCATTTTAGTAAATGCATCACTTGGCTGCCACATTGTCATTGAATGGGACTACTGACCTAGCTATGCAAATGATCCACGTTGACGTCACACCGTCTATGATGTAACTCTCACATCATTGAGCGCCAAATTCGACCCATTCCCGTTTCTCTGTCTCTGGATTAAAAACGTCTTATATTTGACTACCTGTAGGGTACTACCAAAGGTAGTACCCTTCATCCTGTTAAAAATATGTCAAATTCCCAAATTTCAATAAAAGATTTTTAAAAAATGAAAAAAACGTTGCTTTCACGTTACATTTTGTGGCTGAATTTCTCTAAAAATCGCAAGATTTGGACTAAGACCGGGGATAAATTCGTTATCTACGTTCATATCCGTAGATATGGATATTTTAACACCCTTCAGTACCCTGTACACCTTTCGGCTTCGCCTCAGGGTGTACTTGGATACTTCAGGGTGTTAAAATATCCATATCTACGGATATGAACGTAGATAACTTATAATATCTGGGTTTCCGGTAACATCATTTTGAAAAATGGTAGGTCGGATTTTTTTTTTTTTTTTTTTTTTTTTTTTTTTTTTTTGACATTTTAAACGAAATCCTGAAAATTATCATGGTTTTTCCAAGTCTGGGTCCGTAATTAAGTTTCTAATACCGGAACTGCAGCCATTTGCAATGTTTTTGAAGCACCTGCTTTGCAAATTTCTTGGTTTTTAACCTATTTGGAATACCTTTTGACATAAATAAAATGTTTTACTGGCTTTCTGTGCCAGTAAAAGGAAGTTAGATAAATAATTATGTCGATTAATAGAAGCCTGTGTCAAAAACAGGGTCGATTGATACCATTTTTTTTGAAGATCCAATAAAAAAATTAGGGTCAGGCAGAGTTCGCGAAAACTTATTTTGACCCGTTGGTCATGGGACCGACAAAGCATGATTATTTGTCAGTCCTACAAAATTTTAGCCAGTCCTAAAAAATCTGTCAATTTGATCCTGAAATAAAATTAATAACATATTTTATCGAAAAATAACTTTATTAATATTAGTTTTATTCTTCGCACCCACAGGCAAATTAACAATGAAGGACCAGTTCAGGTCTTCTGATTGTTCTTATTTAAAGTCATCTTCACTATCCATTTCATCATCTGAATCACTTTCTCGGCTGTTACAATATTTGTTTGCTCCATTTGGGGTTCAATAGCTGATTGTTTGCCAGGGATGGCTCTATGAACAAATTTAGTATGCCACGTGTAGATCCCCACTTTGGTTAGTTTATAATAAATCCGTAAACCAGTACCGGAAATTGGCAGCGGGTACATCTGATAACCAATGTAAACACTTATTGGAAACAGCTGCGGTACATCTTATAACCGATGTAAAAAAGTGCCGAAATATGCACTACAACAGCCGTTTTTACATCGGTCATTAGGACCGACACTAGCCTTCAAAATACTGGTCCGAGCCTCATTTTGACCGACAGGACCGACCATTTTCGTGAACTCTGGTCAGGGCTAAAAAAAACAGGGTCGGTCGGGTTACCGGAAACACAGATTTTTTTTTAAATTGGTTATTTCTGATTTATATATAAAAGCAAATAATAATTATATGGTTTGAATTGGTAAATTAAAACATTTTAAGTTCACTAGACCACATTTCAGGGCTCACACTACTTCAGAATCATAGGGAGAAGTGACTTCTCTTTTTGAAACTGATAGGGAGAAGTGGTGAGATTTGAAAGAGAAGTGCTCCTTCGCGTGCTGCGCTACTATGTTTTGATTTTACTATAGTATAAAGGGTCATATGTAAATAATGTTCTTTTTATATTGTTCAATTCATGTCTGAGTATACAATTAAATTAACAGTTCAAATTCAAAGTTGTTTAAGTTTAGGTTCTTGTGAGAAACTACCAACTAAATATCTAGCACTAAAAAGAATTTTTTTTATGTCAAAAAGGAAAAGAAATTATAATATATGAATTACAATTCAATTAAAAACTATCTTGTTTATCATGTTTATGAAATTCAGTGTTTCTCATCAAAAGATATACAAAGTTAAGCTGGGCCATAATATATTGATATTAGTAGTTAAGCAACTTTAATCAATATTTTGAAACAATCCATATAAATTATATGGAATTATATACATTAATCAATTAGATCTAACCAAAAGTCTGTTAATGCGTGTGGAATGGGTAATTTTTCCTTTTGGGATCAATATTCTTCTGTCAGCTGTTCCATTCATGCGTCTGTAGTTATTATTGTAAAAATACGGATTTCGGTCATAGCTGGTCCGGTTCCGATCCATAGTTAGTAAACGGTTAATGGCGGACGAAGAAAATTTAAAAAAATAAACGATGTTTGACAAGCTATTTGGAAAGGAATATGACGTTTTTAATGCAATAAATGGATTAAACATTTACTGGAGGCAACTTTTATCACTTTCAAATGAAGTAACAAACTTATTTTGCCGCCGAAAGTTAGATTGATGTACGCTCTCTGAGTAACAAGTACCGGAAGTGCATGCAGTGATAAAAAGTTGTCTTTTTATTAAATAACCTGCTACACACTGTAAAGTCAATGCTTAAAACTCTTTTCTTAAGAAAATGAATCGTTTATGTCTAAATTTCTTTAATAATCAATAAAAAATTGATGTTTTATCAACTTGGTAAAAATTGAAAATGTCCGATGACGAAAGCGACTGAAAGCGAGTATCGTAAACAACAGGGCGACTTGTTTTCGCTTTTGAGGGTCGGGCAAAGCGAAGTGTCAGATGGGAAAGCGACTTCTTCGCCCTAGTCGCCTGGTAGCGTGAGCCCTGCATTCATTCTGTGTCAGAAACCTATGCTGTGTCAAATATTTAATTACAATCCAAATTTAGTGCTGTATCAAGCTTGAATGTTGTGTCCATACTTGCCCCAACTGTTCAGGGTTCGACCTCTGCGGTCGTATCAAGCTGCGCCCCAGGGGAGCATTTTATTTAAAGATTAAATTGGTAAAATACTGTTTGAAGTTGTATATATAGTTCATATTGCAGTTACTGATATTCGGAATATTCCCTAGATTATATGCCCATCTTTCAATGTCTTGGTTTTGACAACAGTTGTTATATTTCATAGGACACTTAAATTTGTGGATAAAGCCATCCAGGAAAACCAGGGAAAGTGATACCCCACGAATTGCATTGCAGAGTTATGGAACTTTATTTGATGAAAAAGCGACAGGCGTATCATCTGTTCATGGCACAGCTCTTTATTATTTTTTGTTCGGAAGTTGGGGGAAATTAGGACACCGTACATAGAACTTAGAAATTCTCTCGTCCTTTATTTTTCTTCTTTTATTTTTGATAACATTACTATATATTTTTAGTGAACACTTCCAAGTAACAATATTTATGTCCATGGGCAACCAAGACAAAAAAATGTACTTGTAGTTGTTTGTTCGGTCGGATATACAAGGCAGCCATAGCATTTCCACACCCTTGCAACAGGTCCACTTTATTTGGCGATTGTCCGGTGAACATACCCATCTGGCAGGGTTCACATGTATTCATGGTTCATTTGTGAACAATGTTAATTAGTTCAATGAATTTCAAATCGTTCTTGATTTTGAGAATTTTCAGGTATGAAGACAGTAATTCCAGAGTTGTTGGACTTTAATGGTCAAATATGACTTCATATTTTTCTACATTTATTTTTAGAAAGCATCAAAGATGAATCAGTACCAGAAGGTTTATATGAACCAGATACATTCCAGTTCTTTACTGGGACAGTTAGCACAGATGTGGAAAAGCCAGATGTTATGCGATGCACTGATTAGGACAGGAAATGTCACCACAAAGGTAGGCTAGTAGTTAACATATTGTTCACCAACTAATTTTCATGACTTTTGCAAGTAGAAAAATACTGTTAAAATAAATCGTTGCAAGTGTATAAAATTTGGGCTTACCCTTATAGAATTGCATTGTAGAAATAGAAAATCATGAAAACAAATCACTGTGAACTCATTTATAAAGGGCAAAATGCGAAATAAAGTATCCATGAAAATGTTGGTTTACAGAAAATATATACAAAACAAATGTACGTCTATTTAACTCAGAAATACATAATGAAATACAAGGGAAATGGCTTATAAATTCGACACAAAATCTCTTAAGACAAGAATCCACTTTAAAGAGTGATTCCACATCTGAAAGTGAAAATGTGGCCTAAAACAACAAACATTTGAACACTACTACAAGTTCAAAACGGCCCAGACACTGGTTTATGCAGAATTCTTTATGAGATGTCATTAATAAAATCTAAAATGATGACTATACCAGGCAAAGAAATCTAGTAAATACTATCATCAGTGGCCATACCCAGCGTCACGATTTAAATTTTGCAGTCACAGGCTTGTATTTATTCTGTTGGCCTGAAGTCGAAATTCTTGTGGGCCCGATAGTTAGTTTGGCCAAGCCTGAAAACTCTACAATCTTGTTTTTTTTGTCATTTTCTGTAACTTTGTATATGAATACAAGGAGATAAGTGGTAACGATACAAAAAAAACCCAGAAATCTAGATAAACATATATGGTCTTTTATAGCAGATAATCATAAGTGTAATGTATAGACTGCAATCACATTAATTTCCTTTTTTTCAGGCACACAGAGTTGTTTTGGTAGCTGCTTGTCCTATGTTGCAGTCCATGGACAATGCCTCAGTTGGTTCACATCTAGAAGTACGCCTGGCAGCAGATATTAAACAAGAGGCTGTCAATTCATTCTTACAGTACTTATATGAAGGATTTATGATGTTAAGTGAAGAAAATTGTAAAGATGTTGAAAAAGTAGCTAGACTTTTACAAGTAGATAGTGTAACAAAGTGCTGCATAGACTTCTATAATTGTCTTCAAAAGAAAACAGGTGTGCCTGTATATTCCAACACACAATATAAATACTCATCTGCTGATCTCTTAGAATTCCGTCATGTTAGAACAACAGACCTTCAGAAGACTCTCCATGAAAGAATGATGAAACGAGCAGCTGCTGATTCAGTGAGACCTACAAGTCCAAGTGGCAAACGTCAAAGAATGCAACAACAGAGACCACCAAGTCCCAACATTGATCTTGCCATGTTTGGTCAGAAAGCTGATGATACTCTCAGCATGGCTCATAGCTACATGGGCAATATTGGCAATCAAGCAGCAGCTGAACCATGGGAAAGGGTGCCTAGAATTGGTGCAATCCATAGTCAGCGCCAATCTCACCCAAAGCCAGGTGTAATTGAAATTGTGGAAGATAGTCTGGAAATCCTACAAACTCAGCCTCCAGACAAGGATGGCAATAAGTCGGCTCCTCCAATTATACAGAAGAGCCTAGCTATTTCAGTATCTAGTCAAGTCAATTCATCAACAGATGTTCATGTTGTAAATGTGAACGACTCATCATCTCATCCCACCGCTGCCGGTGACGGCCCCATTATGAGTACGGGTAGAGACTCGATAACTGTCAGTCCATTAACAGTTATGCCAGGAACATCATCATTATCGTCTTCATCTACATCATCACCATTAACCAAAGATCCACACAAATCTGCTATGGATAAAGATATGTCAGACAAACAACCATATGCCAAAAAATTGCAGTCATCATTAGACCATCAATCCAGCACCCCTCAGAGAGGTCTGTTCCCTGTGTCGATTTCACCAGCTAATATGTCCCCTATTAATCAAGTAAAGAAATCATTTGCCGCAGGAAGTGCTTCCCAAGCTGCCTCTATGTCACAATCACATGATTCACCTGCCAAACGAACACCAACCTCAGCAGTAAATGAAATGGAGAGGCCACCATCTTCAGATTCAGGCAAAGATTTGGGGTTTGTACATTACATATGTGATATTTCTACCATCTAAATGTCAACTAAAACCAGAAAGAAATGTTTTGGATTATTATTGAAATGGGGGTATTCTCTCAACTGGTCTGTTTCTTAAATACAACCCCCATTAAAAAATAAAACCCAAGCAATTGCAACAACACACATGATTTAATATAGGTCAAATATAATTAAATCTTTGGTCATTTCAATTTGTAATTGTTTCTGTTTCTTCAAAATATGTACATGATACATTTTCATTCAGACAATGTATCCTTAAAGTAAGTCTTCAGCATTCCTCAAACTGGACAATTACAGTGACCCATTGCAACCAAGACACGTGCAACTGTATTTCAAATATATGGTTTATAATATGTTTTTAAGTATTTTTGATTTTTAACAGAAATGATGTTTATTCTTTTTATAGGACAAAAAGTAAGGTGGATGATAGGTCTGCATTAAACAGTACAGATATGGCACCTGATTTAAGTATTGTTAAAGTTGAACCTACAGGTGAGGCTGGATTAGACATGTATGTTGATGTACCAGAAGAAAGTATGATTCAGGCACAACAAAGAGAACAAAGGGAACATGATGATGAAAGTGATCTGGAATTGGAAGAAGCCTCAGGAGATTGGTCAAGGGATGAAATGTCAAACGAAGCAGCTGGTGGGGACCAGAATAACTCCTGGTATATAGGACAGTTCAAAGGTAGGTCTTCTTTAATTTTGTCCTGATTATAACCCAACATTGTTGAGATAAATATACTGTAGAAAAAAAACTCACTTCTATATGATTTAGAAATGAGACATAGTTTTAGGGTATTTTTGAGTTGACATTGTTGGGTTACTGTGTGGATCACTCAAGATGGCATAATGAAGTCATTTTTACCGCAGGCACAATGCAAATTACTGATATTCATGAGGTTCGGCATCTAAACATCATTTATGTTAAGTTCATTCTTTTTCAAATGTAAAATTCTTAAATTTAGAGTACATTTTCATATTGCCTTTTTGTTGAACAAAGGAGAAAATTACAATTTGCATACAAATAATGCTGTCAAAATTGAAAATGAAAGTTTTATTTTGGTGACATCTCTCCCGCTAAATAATAAAAATGGAAAAATTATTGAATTTACAATATCCCCCTTTTTACTAGACCAAGCCAGATTTTAAATTTGCTAGTTCTTCTGGTAACAGTCTACAAAAACTCCTAGGCTACCCTTTTTAAGGTTCCCTGGTTATCAATTTTATTTTAACCTAGCACATTTTTTACTCTGTGAATGAACAATCAATACCAAAATTATGAAAAAGTGTGAAACAGCGATCTCCATGTTTTCCCCTTATTCAATTAATAGTTATTAGCTCCACAATCTTATAATTTATTCCAAATAAGATAAGGTTGCATAACAAAGGATTTCCTCAGTAAATGAAGAGTTACTGTTGTATTGATTGTGTTTAGACAAAATTCAGTATTAAATTCAAACTTGTATATCTTTATGGTCATATTTTTAAATTTTTTAATCGTCTTTAACGATCTCTTATTATACCCCACGCAACGGGTTGCGAAGGGTATAATGTTTTTGACCCGTCAGTCCTGTTTCTTGTCATCGCAACTCCTCTCAAACCACCCAACAGAATTTCACGAAACCTTTTGAGATAATAAGGACATACTATGTAGTTGTGCATAGCGACTGGAAATTGCGATTCAATTTTTTTTCTAGGAGTTACGCCCCTTTGAACTTATTTACTTTAATGTACTACTGCAACAGTTTGTCATCGCAACTCCTCTCAAACCACACAACAGAATTTCATGAAACCTTTTCAGATAATAAGGACATACTACGTAGATGTGCATATTGACAGGAAATTACGATTCGATTTTTTTTCCAGGAGTAACGCCCCTTTGAACTTATTTGCCCAATATACTACTGCAACCTTTTGTCATTGCAACTCCTCTCAAACCACACAACAGAATTTCATGAAACCTTTTCAGATAATAAGGACATACTACGTAGTTGTGCATATCGACAGGAAATTACGATTCAATTTTTTTTCCAGGAGTTACGCCCCTTTGAACTTATTTGCCCAATATACTACTGCAACAGTTTGTCATCGCAACTCCTCTCAAACCACACAACAGAATTTCATGAAACCTTTTCAGATAATAAGGACATACTACGTAGATGTGCATATCGACAGGAAATTACGATTCAATTTTTTTCCAGGAGTTGCGCCCCTTTGAACTTATTTGCCCAATATACTACTGCAACCTTTTGTCATCGCAACTCCTCTCAAACCACACAACAGAATTTCATGAAACTGTGTAGATAATAAGGACATACTATGTAGATGTGCATATTGACAGGAAATTATGATTCAATTTTTTTTTCTGATACAATTTTTTTTCTTACACTTATTTTATTTCTCCAATGACAATGTGGTGACATGGGGTATGTGAGCGCGCTCACTAAGGTTCTTTCATTAAAGAAATTATGATATAAATGATAAAGACGTGCATACCTCTATTTTCATTTTCAATTTAAATGAAATATGACTTATTTTTACACCTGATTATTATGATACTTTTTTTTGGCCAAATTGCCCAATACATTGAACAATCTAAGGTCAGTAGTAGCCAGTTAACATCTTAATATTCTTGATAGATGTGGATTGTAACACCTGTGTAAGAGCTTTTACAATGTAATTAAAGTTTACTTGATGCTAAAAATGAATATGAGGATTTTTTTTTGGGGTCTGAAAATGAAAAATAAAAGCCTGATAGCAGACTTTATTAATTTAACTAGCTGGATAGAATTGGGTTGTGGATGAAAAAGATTCTGCAGATAACTGAATATTAGTGTGGAATTGCTTTCAAGAAAGACTGTGCAGATAACTGAAGTCAGGTGTGGGCTTTATTTCTTCGAATTATTTTTGTTTGCTCTGTTGCATAAGGCATTATGAAAGGTTGGAGAAGAGTGTACTTATTTTATGTTCAACTCTTACATTTCAAACTTTGCTAAAACATTTTTAAGCTTGAAATTTACGTTACTTTGAAAAAAGATTAGGGTTGTGATCTTTATAACATTGGAGAGTTTTTTTTTTTAAATATTTCCCATTGGTTAATACTTTTGAACTGAGTGTTCAGCATAAATTTTAAGAAAGGTACTTATTTTATCTATTTTTACTTTGATTTTAAATTTTAGATTTGTAAATATGTTTTATTCAGTAGAATTAGTATTATAGACTTGTTGGAAGTACATTCTATGCAACGGTTTGCAACCAAGCAATTTGAGTCAAAGATCCATTATAGAGATTAATAATCAGTTTTAATTAAGTTAAAGTAATTTACCGACTTGAAAAGACAGAAAAACTGAGCAAATAAATGAAGATTTTTCACGACATTTCACAGATTGTTTCATTGCCCAAACACTATATGTTGCTTTTTCAACCTTCAGACTTTGGTATGAATAGATATGACAAGAATTGTTAAGTTAAAATTCATCATGCATATGCAGCAATTTAGAGGAGTACATTTGGCAGAACCTTAGTCATCCACAATCATAAATGCAACATCTTCGAGAGATCCACACTCCTTCTTGAGCTAGATAAAAATTTTGATCACTACTGTATAAATTTATGATGGAGAAATTTTTTCAACAATTCTTAAATGTCTTGTTTTCAAATGTATGCACTTCATATGTTGAGAAAGAAATAGTTTGGTGTTCAACTGAAAAAATACAAAACTTGTTATTTATTTAAATTTATCAAAAAACAAGAAAATGGAAACAAATTTCTCCTTTTAACATTGCTATGACACCTTTAATAATATAGTTTTGTTTATTGATATAAACTAGTGTATAATTACAAATAACAAAAAACAGGTTATTATATAGTACCCTTTTGTGTGTATATACATGTGTGTCTATTGGTGTATTGGACATACAGCTGTAAAATTAGCTTATTTTAGATACAAAGTTGGAACAGAAATCAAAATGAAGTCAACAATATGCATGGTGTCAAAGTTGAACTTGGAAGCATGTCAAAAAGATATTTTTGTAACCTGGTGCAGTAGTTTCTATGTTGGTCAAAAGTTTTACAATTTTGTAGTTATTCTTAAAAAGGAAATAATATCTTGAATGCTATTTATTAAAATGTTGAATTTTAGTCTTTTCCAGCAGTGAAAGTTTTATGAAAGAAACTTTAGTACCACTTAGAACTGCTCAAACCAGATTATAAAGTGTGATGTCATAGCAATGAGAATGTTTACTATTTATGTAGGTCAATGGGACCTGATCATTATGATATAAGAAATTGGAAGATGATGAAATCAGCTTCCAGTCTCTGATATACTATAGACAAATGAATTGTTTGTGACAATTTTATATTTATTTGAAACAAAAAGGTATCTTGTATATAGATCATTGACGAGAAATAAACACTACCATTAAATATATTGTGTCTGTACTTTGCAAGTTTGGGGGTCATTTGAGAAAAAAAAATGAATTGCAAACAGCGAGAGAGAAATTTGTGAAATGTTGACCTGAAGACCACTAACTGAGATAAGAGTTTGACTGAAACTAGATTATTACTTGAATATTCAACTTTGGTGAAGTAATTCTCTCAAAACATGACTGAAAGTAAATTTCATGTCGTTTCAGATGACATGGGCAGCTTGCAAAGTACAGTTATTATGGGACAGAATTTCGATTATACTGTTACACAGAATCTTGAGCAATTACATCCAACCTCACTTGATTTAAAAACAGACAGTTCTAAATCGTTTGTCTGCTTCAATTATGATGAAATACTTCTTAAAGGCAGGAACGACCCATTCTCTGATATTCCAAATGAACATTACATATCACTAACGACTCTTATAGACATTCATAAACAAAGTTTAGGTCCTGGAAATTTTGCAAAAAATGTTTCAGAGAAACTTTTCCCAGAATTATTTGGACTTGATCACTTAAGAGTTTATTATTCCTATAATGGAGGTGGGCGCTTAGATAAGAAAGAACTAGATCCCTTCAGAAAAACTTACCTAAAAAGATATGTGACTTTTTTTCATCCAGAACTGGAAAGCACACATTACTGGAAAGAGAGTGCTGTTTCTAAAATAAATGAAAATTTGCGACGGCCAACTCATAAAAAACGTGTATAAATGTTGATTTAAAAAGTTACCTACCTGTTAGTATTAAAATAAGAAATCTAAATTACCCAAATGTGATATTCTGTTTTTTAAATTCTTTCCTTAAGCATCTCGACCCATTAAACCAGAGGTGATAACTTGCACAACTGAAAATGAGGATACATGGAGAATCCCAAATGTGCTACGTCCTGTTTTGTTGACATCAACAGAGCCAGTTCCCATAATGGAAAGTTTCTGTGGAAATAAGAATTCGAAAAGATCTCTTCTATTCACTAAAGAACGTTTGGAAGAGTTGGATTTCAAGTTTTCAGATATTGAGCCTCCAAACAGAATTTCAAATGCTGACCTTATAACTGAATTTAATAAATCATGTAGCCCAGGAAATTTTGCTAAGCATTTGTTGGAGAGGCTATTTCCAGAACTTTTTACAGATGAATACCTTTGTCGTTTCTATTCATATTATGGGGGAAGCAGGTTGCATAAACATGCCCTTGATACCTATCGACTTGGCTATTTATATCGATACGTCATTTATTTTTACCCAGAAGTCACAAATCCCAAAGCATGGACGAAGTTAGTCGTTAAACATATTAACTGTGCTCTAAGAAGATCCGAAAATCCCAAAAGTGAAGAGGTGATTCAGATAAACTAGTTTAAATGACACCTTGCAAATTACATTCAGATTTAAGATTCATAGAAGTTATTCAGCACTTTTTGTGTCCTTTTTTCTATAATTATTTGTTTTGTGTTCACATTCAACAGCAGTTTGAAATGAGACTTGTATATAAGTTACAAATTAATTACATTGATTTTCTGAACTAGTGAACTACAAAAAAATGTAAATTTTCTTTTTTGAATTATATTAAAATGGTCAGATCAAGATACCTTTTTGTTTATTGTGCATCTGTATATATATTGATGATTAAAAAAGGAGAATTTCAACTGAGAAAAGCTGGAGAAAGGAGATCATCTGGATTAAAAGCATTGCCTTCTTAAATCTGCCAGACTTTCTAATCTTTCTTCACACATTTGAGTAAAGGAATTCATGGTTTTATGCAGAATATTTATTTTTTTATGAAGACACAAACATATAATATTTATTAACTTCAGTTATTTCAATATGGATGAACATGTTGGTATAAAAAATGAGAGTAAATTGAAATGGTAATAAAAAGTTAAAGACTTCAATCAAAAACCTGGCAGAGTTGTGAAGGCAATGCTAAACAGGTAGGTCCACACACACCAAACAAAAGTCCCATGAAAATATATAACTGAAAAATGGAATAAAGAACTAGACATGGAAAATAAATTGAATGTTAATTCATATATTTGAATTGACTTTGGAACATTGAAGCTTTGAATCGTGTGAAGTTATTTAAACTTGTAGAGAGCTAAACAATTGACTGGTTATGTGGATTCTGGTTGAAATGGTTCTTTATCATGGAATTGTAGTTTCTAATATGGTTTTGATCAGTGATTTATACAATTAGTGGGAATTGGAAGTTATATTCTTGCTCTTGACATTGATTGAAGCAATCCATCTTTGGATATAATGATGGTAGAGATGCCACACTAATAAAAAAAAAGATTAAAGTTTAAATAAAGAAATGGAAGATAAAAAAGGTTAAAACATAATCTTTAAAAAAAAAAGTATGAATGATTTTGTTTCCTGTTCAGAAAAAAAACAACAAAAAACCTAAAAACCTTAGATAATAACCATTTTAAAATTACACATGGGTGATCATTTTGTTGTGTGCTGTTGCAGGTCTCCATGGTAACAGACACAACAAAATTGATCCACTCAGATACAAGATGATGACATCACGAGATCGAGACACAATAATGGTAGAAGAGGACTGCGGAGATATTCAATATTTTGTTGATGATGCAATTCCTGTGAAAGTGTTAAACTTTGAACATAGGCCTGACTGTGTTGAACCTGAAGAGGAACAAATAATACAAGAAATATTAACTAATGCCGTTTCTCGTCAAAATTTTGCTTGGAGACTTGTTAGGCACTATTTTACTGATCCTGAATTGAAAGATCACAATTGTTTTGGTCGGAGAGGCAAACTTCCACTTATCACTGAAAAATTGGAAAAGGTTGAAAGCATTGTATTTGCCTATTACCCTGTTGCTGATCCTGCATTATACCCTCAAGCGTGGCGAGAGTGTGTGGTTGCTATTGACAAGGGCATTAGAAATTCTTTCTCTGACTACGGTTACATTAAAGCTGACGAAAGAAAGTGTCGATCAAGTTACAATATTATAATATGAAATTTCTAGATGACCAGAAATTAAAATTGAACGTGTCACTGATCAAAAGAAAGTGTTGATCAAGTTACAATATTATAATATGAAATTTCTACATGACCAGAAATTTAAATTGAACACGTTTTGATGTTTTTGTGAAATTATTGATGCATATGCAGTTACACTGGATTTGACCCGTTTTGGGTGTAATTATTGAATGACAATCAAGGATATCATGCGATGTAATTGAATGATGCAATTTTTGAATAGAATATAATGTTGTTCCTGCTCTGTTCTACAGTATTTGCATAGAATCGTCTCTTAGTTCAAAATGAATAGTTGTGATGTTTGTTTTAGCTTGTTTTTAAATAATTTATATTAAAGATGAAAATGGGTTATTTTTTTGAATTGATATTCTTAGGTTTTACTTGAAAAGACTTGTTATAAATCTTCATTGACTTACTTCCCTTTGAACAGTTTTTTTTTTTTTTTTTTTTTTAGGTTGATAGGCAGTTGGCCCTCATGTTTGTCCGATTCATTAAGAATACAAAATTAAGAAGTCTGAACTTTATGTTCAATTTTGGGTTTAGTGAGGCTGTATAATAAATCCCTTAGCTGTTAACTATGAAACTGGAAAAACTTGCAGTAGAAGTTATACAATAGTTGCAAAACTAAATTTTGTTTTGAAATCTAGTTTATATAAGGTTTTGCGATGTTAACAATTGACCTTGCAACCAAGCAGTCTTGCAAAGTTACTTGAAAATCAAGCCTGAGCATTGTTTCCTACAATGTACAGAATTTAGGCTTGCAGACTCGTGCTAATTTTGAATTGGCAGTGCATATATATATATACAAGGTTGCAATGGACTACATCCATAAACTAGAGGGAAATTTTAATAATGGAACAGAATTATTTCTATTTTGTAGTAAACCTGACATAAATATGAAAACCAATCTAATAAAACACCAACACACCAAACATATTGACACAAAAATACAGTTGGCATGTTAAAATTTATGATAGAAATTGCATGTTGTTTGTTTTATTTTTTTAAATACTGCCTAAGTGTTCTTCTATTCCTCCTGGTTTCACTAAAACTATTGAGAACACCTTGGCACTATTTAGGTACAAAATAGCCATTTAATAGCAGCATATAATTTGTTGCTAAAAGTACTGAACAATAAAGAGAGGCTGTGTTAATTTCAAATTTCAAATTCTTTTCATTAAATGTTTTAGTGATACCTTGAGCAAGATTATAAATTTCTTTTTGCACGAAACTTTTAATTGTGAACGTAATAGTAAAGCTAACACTAGCCTCTCTTTATTCTTTCAGCTCCCAACAAGCCAGTTTTAAAAACAAAGCCAATGCCTGCCTGTGCTAAAGCTAAGAAGTATCCAGGTTGGAAGGAGGAACCGTCGGAAGACCCCAATGATCAAGAGATAGAGTTTATGCCAGGTCACAAATTAGTTCACATCACTGGCCATAAACGAGCTTGCGCTTATTGTAATATACTCCGTCTTAAGACAAAATCGGGATGGGCTATAAAATCTTACTATAAATGTGAGGCCTGCGATGTATGTCTTTGTAAAGGAAAGAAGGATTGTTTTGTAAGGTATCATGAATTAAGAATGGAACAACCAGATTTGTCACCAAAGATGTTGCTGAAAACTTTAAAGGAAGCAACTGCTAGTCAAACACCAAAAAAACCTCGTAAAAGTGCCAAAGTAGATGACCCAGGAGTTAAAAATGTTGCAATATATGAAGAATTTACCTCAATGATGACACAGGCCATTGCTGATCAACTTCAGGCATATGGGGGAATGTTGGACCCAGATGACAGTGGTCAACAGAGTTTGGATCAGAGTCGTGGAATTTACCAGCAGTCACATATAACTGTCTCACCAAAAAACACAAATGGTCCCAGTCAACCTGAAACTGGAAATGATAAAAATAGAAATAACTCTGAACCTCTGAAAATCGAACAAGGAATCTTGCCAAAAACTAAAGATGAAAAATTAAACCCTGAAGAAGAACAAAATTACTCACCTAATAACCAACAAGAATATTTGTTGTAATATGTTGTTATTGAAACAAATTTAATGTGTTCAGCTAAATCATAGACAAAAAAAAGGGCATTTTATTGAAAACATACTTGAAGCAGGAATAGGTTTTAAATGAATCAGTCCCCAAAATATTTCAATGTACCTATTTGTTAAAATGTTATTGCCACATTGATCAAATTTTGACAGACATAATAATTTATAAAATGCTCCATGTTTTACATATTATGTGCCAAGTATTATTTTTTTAATCTTCCATATTTATTTTTTGACACGTTGTTCCAATAAATGATACAGGTACATCCTGAAGGCATTATAATTTATTTTTTTGTAGATTTGTGTTTCTTAGTTTTGCCATTTTATGAAACTCTTTTTATGAAAAAAAAACCAGAAGACTCCTGAAGGTTTTCTTTTCATACTTTTCTACCTTGCTTGTGACAAACACATAGTATAAAAGATTAGAGATAAGGTCTTCAATCATCTGAGTTAAAATCTTTGTTGATTTCAATAAAATTCTTGAAAATAGTCATATATACAAATTTCATATATTGAAAAATCACAACAGTTTGAAGCCTTTAATTTAAAAAAAAAATGACATTTGCAGTGAAAGAACATTTATTTTATAAAGTAAAAGAAGCTAATAATTTCTATAGGAACAGCAGTAATTTGTACTAGAAATTTAAGTAGATGTCACATAAAAACTTACTGGTGTACATGGTCTTCCTTACCTGGTGTTAAATTGTCTAATATAATTTTTATTTTATTGGCACAATGGCAAAATTCCAATTTTTCTAAAGAGTACTTTATGTAAAATAATAAGTATTCAGGATACTATAGCTTTTGACTTAAAAGAACCTTGTGTTCTTCCAATGGGTAGCTGATGCATACATGTGTACAAAGTACATAATTGTGGGATTTAAGATTTTAAAATTTTATAAACAAGCTGGAAGCAATATAGCCATTACTATCTTATTTCATTTTGTTTGAATAAAGCCTGGTTACTTGATTAAACTTCCAACATATCAGTATAACCTATTCACATTTTGGTTATAGATTAGACCACTAATGCATGCCTCACTTTCTGCATTGAGACCATTGAGATGAAGTACAGCTTTTAAAAACTTTTAAATTGGACACAGAAGTCTTTTGATAACAAGGCTTTGTTTACGTTTCTTATATAATAATATGTAATTGTATAACTTGCATGTGTTTTGTGTATTCACTATACTTTAAAAAGGTGTTAATAATCGTGACAAAAGATGCATGAAAATGTATTGGAAATCCCTCTTTCCCTATTTATGCCCCTTTGTTTTGTTTTATGTTTGAAAATACTCATTTTGTTTGCTAATGTTGTTTACTAAAGTTAAGATTTGATTGTATTGTCTGCAAAGCAGTGTTGATTCATAAAGATTACTTAGTGTAGTTACATGTAGTCTGGTTATCAGACTTTGTAATAACTCAGTTTCAAAGAAAGGGAGGTAACTGGTTTACCTTCGTCTGTCCATTACACATTTCTGTCACAATTTTCTTAGCAAATACAAGTCATTGCTTCTTGATTTATTGCACCAAGCTTTATCTGGATATACAATAACGTGATACATTTTCAGTTCCATAATATTAAACTTCCTGTTAGGGAAATATTATATCTTAAAATGTTGCCCACTTATTTGAAATTTTGGTCACATTTTTTTGTCGAGTGAGATATGAGCAGTAGCTAACAGTTCATCTTGTGTGACAGAACAAACAAAATCTGCATCAATTCTTAAACGTAAAGTATGGTTAAACAACTTCAATTTTAATTTTCACCACTTTGGTAACTTAGGTTTCCTAATTTAAATCATGTACCTCATCATATAGAACATGACTGTGTGTTATTAATTGACTACGTATGGCAGGTTAGTTTCGTTGACCCATGTCTTCAATGTATTACTCCTATGTAAATTTATATCAAACTCAGGAAGAAAAAAACTTTTGTATCTGAACAACATCTGCAGCTAGGATAGAGATCTTCAGACACAAGGCCAGTTAATATTTGTTCAGGGCAACTTTTTTGCAATTTAATTGTAGATGTAATAAGTTGTGACAGGAAGAGTACTTACAATAAAACATTTTTTTTTACTAAGTTACATATATCTACTGGATGGACTGTTCAATATACGATTTTTTTTACCTTTGGAATATGAAGATTTTGACAAGTCAAAATGAATAAAAATAAATTTAATTTTCATGTGCAATTTTTAAAGTTATTAATATACATTGTTAGTGATGAGCATTCTTTGTTTGTATTACAAAAAAAAATGATCCCTGATGGTTGGTCTTCTAAAATTATCTTGTTTGAAATAAATTCTTCAAGACATTGCTCTGAAGTTAGATAATTCAAAAACGATAGATGAACATTACCTCCTACCAGTCTTTATTCATACATCAAGTTAAATATAAGTTGTAACATTGAATCTGAACATTTTCAGGGACAGCAAATTTTTGCAATTTTTACAATATCTGTTATTAGTTGACTGCCTGAAACAAGACACTTGGATATATTTAGAACATAACAGAAATCCTTTTTTATATGCATGTTTTCGTCTTTGTGCTATATTTATTTATGTATCTTTGTTTAGATATGTCAGTGTTGGTATTTTAGAATAAAATGTTGAATTATGTTAATTGTCAATTTTTTTCAATACCAGGGTAACCAGGCACTTTGAAAATAGTAAATGTGCTTTAACTATATATTTGCAAATATAAATGTATTGGAGAGAGAAAAAAAAGAAAGAAAAAAACGTTTGATGTGATTTCTGTGCTCACAATGTGTGTTGCTGGAATAACCATTATCACTCTGATACATACACACAAAAAACTTAACTGAATGTTACGGATAAAATTATTTAATATCAAAATATAAAAGGATGGTAAAATGAAAACTTATGTTAGACATATGTTCCAAGTTGAAATAGCCCGAAAGTGTAAGATCTTTCATGATTTACTTCAGGAAAGGATGTTTTGTTTTTGTTATACACCCGTATTATGGTATACCGTTGTCTGTCCGTCCGTCCGTCGTCAACATGTCGGACATTAATTCAAAAACGCTTTAACCAATATGCATGAAACTTTGGTAAATTGTTTATATCTATTGATGTGAGCTCCCTTTTGTTTTTTTTATAAATTTCAGATGTACTGTTTCCGAGTTTTGGGGTTTTATTCATTAAAAAAGGGGGGATTTTCCAGTTTTCTGACAATAACTCAAAAACAATTTCACCAATTTGCAAGAAACTTTGGTGAATTGTTTATTTCTTTCGACATGAGCTCCTTTTTGATTTTTATAAATTTTAGACTATACTTTTCCGATTTATGGGTTTTTTTTCATTACAAAAAGGATTTTCCAGTTTTCAGACAATAACTCAAAAATGCTGAAAGCATTTTTTATGAAACTTTGGTAAATTGTTTATATCTATTGATGTAAGCTCCCTTTTGATTTTTATAAATTTTCGATTTTACGTTTCTGTGTTATAAGATTTTATTTGTTTATAGTCTGACAACAGATTTACTAAGTATTGTGTAACAGCACAGTGTATTGTACAACAGCAAGAAATCATTAATTGAATATAAATTCAATTCATATAACCAATTTCAAGTTCTTTGACTACATTTATTCAGAAACCTATAATATGTCAAATATTTAATTACAATCCAAATTCAGACCTGTATCAAGCTTGAATATTGTGTCCATTTTTGCCCCAACTGTTCAGGGTTGGACCTCTGCGAGCGTATCCAGCTGCGCTCAGCGAAGCAGTTTATTTGAATATTTCTTGATTCTTGCTTTCAAACTTCATTTGTGAAATATTGGTTTTCTGGTTTAATACTGGGGTCTACAGTCTACAGTCGTATTAATTTTAAGGTGTTAGTTACAACATCAGACTTGTGTTCCTGGATATATGATATATATTGATAGTTGGCATTTTACAAAGTTGAACGGCTTCCTAATGAATTGCCAACAATATGTAAGTTCTGGTACCTTACATTGTAAATTTCATTTCTTGCAGGGTACCAGGGCAAAGATCGAGCTTCTTTTGGACACGAGTTAACACAGGAACTTCATGATAGTATTTCCACAGAATTTGAAAAAAATTCACATGGTTATAAACATAATGTGGTAGATCAGCCAGTTGAGTGGTCTGTACAGAAAAGTCAAAATTTACCATATCTAATGGGGACTAGTGTACTTGAATGTCAGGATGTGTCAGAAAGTTTACCATTTATTGTCACTGATGATAATCTTGCTTCTGAACAGGGTGGGAAATATGACGGAAAACCAAAATTTCATTGTCTTGTGTATAATGCTGACACAAAGGCAAAATACTGTGTATACTGTAAAATCATGGGAAATAGAACAAGCTGTGGTTGGAATGTCAGATCCTATTACTGTTGTGATGCATGTGATGTGCCACTGTGTAGTGGCAAACGGGACTGTTACAATGATTATCATAAGATGCTGAAGAAAGCACAACCTGATTTGACATGGCTGTGCTCTGATCTAAGACCAGTTAAAAAATGAATTACACATTGAATAGAATTTTCTTTTTATGCTTTGTGGCTCAGCAAGAATCTTCGTGTTTTATAGCAACTTGTTTGTGTTGGGTTTTTCCATGTGTTTTTATACGACCGCAAAAAAATTTTTGTGGTCGTATATTGGTATGGCGTTGGCGTCGTCGTCCGGCGTCGTCGTCCGAATACACATTAGTTTTCGCACTCTAACTTTAGTTTAAGTGAATGGATCTCATTGAAATTTTACCATAAGGTTCAATACTACAAAAGGAAGGTGGGGATTGATTTTGGGGGTTATGGTACTAACAGTTAAGGAATTAGGGGCCAAAAGGGGCCAAAAATAAGCATTTTTGTAACTTCCAGACATAACTTGTGTGTAAGTGTATGGATCTCTCTGACATTGTACCACAAGGTTCCATATCACAAAGGGAATGCTGGGATTGATTTTGGGGGTAATTGTCTCCAAATTTTAGGAATTAGGGGCCAAAAAGGGGCAAAAAACAAGCATTTTTCTAGTTTCATGACAATAACTTGTTTGTAAGTGTATGGATCTTTATGAAATTGTACTACAAGGTTCCATATCACAAAGGGAATACTGGGATTGATTTTTGGGGTAATTTCCTCCAAATATTAGGAATTAGGGGCCAAAAAGGGGCAAAAAACAAGCATTTTTCTAGTTTCATGACAATAACTTGTTTGTAAGTGTATGGATCTTTATGAAATTGTACTACAAGGTTCCATATCACAAAGGGAAGGCTGGGATTGATTTTGGGGGTTTTCCCTCAAAATTTTAGTAATTAGGGGCCATAAAAGGGCAAAAAAAAACATGCATTTTTCTAGTATCAGGACAATAACTTGTGTGTAAGTGTATGGATCTTTATGAAATTGTACTGCAAGGTTCCATATCACAAAGGGAAAGCTGGAATTGAGTTTGGGGGTAATTGCCCTAAACGTTTAGGAATTTGGGGCCAAAAAGGGGCCAAAAAACAAGCATTTTTCTAGTTTCCAGACAATAACTTGTGTTCAAGTGTATGAATCTCTCTGAAATTGTACTGCAAGGTACCATACCACAAAGGGAAAGCTGGGATTGAGTTTGGGGGCGATGAATCATAAGGGGGTTCAAAAAATTGGGGGGGGGGATTTTTTTTTTTCCTTTTTTTTCTTTAACATTTTCCATTTTAAATTGGTTATTTCTGATTTATATATAAAAGCAAATAATAATGATATGGTTTGAATAGGCATACATGTGAACCTCCCGACGGGAGTACAATAATCCCGTTTTCAGGGGTCTCCTCCCCCCTCCCGTTGAAAAAATCCCGTGTATGAAATTTTTCATGAATGAAAAATTTCTGCCCAACATAACATCTCAGGCATCTGGTGTAACTGACATTACCTGAAGTTATATTTTACCTGTAAATCAATTAACATGCATAATTATATGGCTTCACTTGTCAGCTTGGGTGTCAAACATACTGGTAAGCAACGATTTTTACCTCAGGCTAACTGCCGTTGTGTAACAAAAACTGTGTATTTATTGGGTTACTTCCCTTGATTTATCCTGTTTTAAGTTACTTTCCTTTTAATAATGAACATTTTTAAAAGAATATAAATAAAATATAAATTGAACAAATAATCATAAAAGGATGGTTATTAAATGATTTTAAATGTCTTAGGACAAATAAAAAAATAATAATTTGAAAATTATTTGAGGATTCTATACTTCCTTTTAAGGCTTAAATTTAAATTTATATAATAACTATGACCCTAACTTCACAGATAGAATGAATTTCTGAGTTTGCAAATAAAAACTATTTGCAAGAGAAAAAAAAAAAAAAATAAAAACTATTTGCAGACAGCTAAACAAATGTTCTGGTTGCAATGATTGTTTTATAGAATATGAAGTAAAAAATTTAAAGAACATACTGGGAAAAAACAATGTTAGATTGAACATGTAGAATATAAAGATGGAGAAACTTTATAAGTACAAGGGTACTATAAACATAATAAATTGGTTGGAAAGTTGAAGAAAACACACTTTAAAAGACCATTTTTACAGCACACGGTTACATTTACAACAAAATTAATGTCGATTAAAAACCTCCTGATCTGAGTCCTAATCTCCTGACCAAAATTTCCCAATCTCCTGATCTGAGTTTCACAGTCCATCACATGTATGAATAGGTAAATTGAAAATTTTTAAGTTCTTAGACCACTTTCATTCTGTGTCAGAAACCTATGCTGTGTCAAATATTTAATTACAATCCAAATTCAGTGCTGTATCAAGCTTGAATGTTGTGTCCATACTTGCCCCAACTGTTCAGGGTTCGACCTCTGCGGTCGTATCAAGCTGCGCCCCAGCGGAGCATTTTATTTCCCAGATAAATTGCAACCAATCATAGATTACAAAAAATAAAATTGGAAAGTCGTTTAATAGAGCTTCAGCTTGATACTTATGAATAAAAAAAAAGTAATGTATCTATGTAGAAACATGTAGTGTTGAAGACCAGGTTGACCTGTAAATGTCTGGTTTTTCATGCTGTTTAGTTGCAGTCTTGTCATTGTGGTATAATACCACACATCTCTGTTTCATACTTTAGGACTTATCCCTTGAATAAGTCCCACTTCATCATCATGTTTTAATAATGTATCTTAATTAATTAATTTTCTGACTTTGATACTTTGTTTGATTGATTCAAAACTTTTTTATTTCTGCTCCTTAGAGTGAAGAGATGACAATGTATAGACACTTCTTGTTTAAAGACTATATATTGTCCTCGAGATGTCTTTTGGTTATTTTCTTCAATTTGTTCTGGTCTCCCCCCAAAAAACGTATACCACACATCACCTTTTTGATCATATTAATAGTCATTGATCAAACACCTGACTGATTGTTGGGGCGATGCTAAAAGGCCAGTGGCAAATACATATGTTATTATCCTATGAATATACCTTGTTTTGTTCTAAACTTTCACTCTGAAGTGGATTTTTGTCGAGCCTGCGACTTTTGTCGCAGAAAGCTCGACATAGGGATAGCGATCCGGCGGCGGCGGCGGCGTTAGCTAACTTCTTAAAAGCTTAATATTTTAGATGATGGAAGACCTGGATGCTTCATACTTTGTATA